ATGCCATAACCAGACGTTTACCAGAATACACTATTATGGGTTCATCCAACTCATGTATCGCCATACCGACATCTATTGGGGAGAAAGAGAGGAGAAGGGAAGAGAAATCACTGATGGCTGGGAGGCAGGAGTGTCTCGGTATCTCTGCCCATCTCAGTGCCCAGCCCAGCCCCGTTGGGGGGCATGCATGCTGGACGCCGGACGCCCGTCTGGGTCGCAGGCCTGCCGCCGGGCCCGTGGTCTCCGTTGGTGCCCTGAGACTTTTCTAAATGTTTGAGACATGGAGACATTCTATTGCCTTCATTTTTCATTTAATTGAGTTTAATACAAATCAGACTCTGCAAATGCAACATGAATGATCAATTGAATGGCCACATCATGTGATACTGTCCGCGATGCTGTCCGTATACTTGTGGAATCCACAGGGCCCTGGAAACAGTAACCGATTGTTAAGTGATTCGGTGGCACAAGGCCCCCCAAAGTGAAGTGAGGGTATTTATACTCTTTATCCCATTAGGAACAATCTTTGTACGTGTTTGCTGCAGAAATACTCGAGTTTGACTTAAGTGAACTTCCAGACTCTGCCTGGAATGTTAAGCGATGTCCAGTTATGTGTTCTCTTTTAGAAAATATTTATGTTATTGGGGAGCACGTGGTAAAATATACATAATATAAAGTTGATAATCTTCACCTGCCCTTTTGTCTTGAGCTCTGACTCAGTGCCCTACACACACTGCGATCTAGGCCTGCTAAATGCACACAGGGAGGGGCAAAAGCACGTTTACCGTCATTTGTACGGAAAACAATACAATAAGTAAGAATTAATAACCCCGAATAAACTCTGTGTGGCCTGCTCACAACCGTAAATCCCCTCTCCTCCCAGCCTGCATGTAGCAGCTGAGTGGATAGAAAGCAGGCCGGCGGGGACTGGGAGGGAGCTCAGGCCGCAGACGAGGGGAGCAGAACGCCCGCAGCGCGCAAGGACAGCCGCGACGCCGCCGGGCCCAGAGGCAGAGCAGGGGAGGCGCTCGTCACACCCGCCTGATCCGAGGGTAACCGTTTTCAAATGTACAGTTTACTAACGTGAAGGACATTCCCATATTGTACAACCATACCCACGGTCCATCCAGGGCACGTTTTTCATTTTGCCAGATTGAAACTCTGTGCAGTTAGACCGTAACTCCCCTCTTCCCTCCCCTCCCCTGCTCCGCCAACCCACGGGCCACCACCATTCTCCTTTCTGTCCCTAACATTTGACTACTCTAGGTGCCTCTCCTCAGTGGAACCCTACAGTGTTTCTCCCTCCTCGCTGGCTTATCTCGTTTATCACCACGTAGGGTGTAGATGTCTCTTCATTGTTCATGCATGCCGTAGCATGTGTCCGAATTTCAGTCCTTTCAAGCTGAGTGATAGTCTATTGTATGTACAATACATACCCCATGGTTTTACCCACTTGTTTGCTGATGGGCGCTTGGGTGGCCTCTACCTTCTGTTACTGTGAAATATGCGGCTCTATTAGCATGGCTGTACAGGCGTCTCTTCAGGCACCTGCTTCCTCTTCTTTTGGGTATTTAATCAGAAATGGAGTTGCTGGATGACTGTGTACCACCTTTTCTAAACCTGAAAGATTCTTCATTCCAAAATACATCTAGCCCCAGCGTTTTGGGCAGGGGGTTGTAGACCTGCATTATGCTAGTTCGGCAAACGCAATTGAAAATGTAGCTCGTTTCCTATATAGTTACATAGGAATCAATATTTAACGAGGCTTGAGAGCACACTTCAACATGCTTGATGTGGGGTGTGTGGGGCTTGCACCGTAAAGTCCCGAGTGAGCCTGTGGTTTCTAATAACAGCCGCACACCTAGATCACACCCTGTCTCCTCACTTCTGGCTGAGGGTCTGGAGCCGGCTGCCTAAGGCCTCTGTGCCGCAGTCTCCTCATTTCTAAATGAGACTGATCGTAACAATACGCAAAACCATGTAGGTTGCTGGTCGGCTTTTCCGCGGGGCTGTTTCGGGGACTAACCTGTAAGAGAGTTAGAATGTCCTCTGTTTGCTCATCGGCAGTATTAGATATTCATTTGCTACGTAAACCCACAGAATGGTTCGGTGGACTCAGGCGAGTCGCTTGCTTGGCTTGTGTCATTTCCTCCTCAACATGACAGTTTTGTACCACATGGGATGTAATAGTTCTAACACCGTAGGCGACCGTGTTTCTTCTTCCAGATTTACAATTTTACTGCAATCTTTCGATCAAGCACAAACTGGCCGTATACCAGCTAAGAGAAGGTATCAGAGGATTCTGGCCATGAAAGGGAAGAGGACTGTTTTCCACATCATCTGTACGGTTTTCCCCAGTGACCGAAGGCTACGGGGAAAGGCCGACACCCTGCGGGTGCTGCTTTTAAACAAGCGCCAAGTTCTCGCCGATGACCCCCCGCCCCCGTGTCTCCTCCCCGCACTTCAGGTTACCATCGAATGGCGACCGGGGGTGGGGAAGGCTCACTCTACTTACCAACGGCCGGGGCCGCCCGGGCCGGGGGTCCAAGGGCAGCAGCAAGGATGAGGAGGGAGAGGGCGGCTGCGGGGATCTTCATCTTCCAGGTGTGCGGGCAGGGCTGGCCTGAGGGCTCCCGGGCTCTCTGCTCCCTGACTCCCTGGGACCCCAGCTCTGCCCTCCTATTTAAAGAAGCGGAGAATCAGGAAGTCAGAGGGCAGAGGTCAACGGATGTTCTTTGTACACTTGACGACATTGTATTTCTAGGAAGGGTCCAATCCTTGGAATGCAACAGGAAGTTGAGGATGATGATGACTGGGTTTTTCCAGCTGCTTAGTGGATAGAAGCAAAAGTGTCAAACTGTCAGGCAGAGACCTTCGCCAAGAGAGGAGTCCGAGACTCTGTGGAAGCAGCTCTCCCCTCCGATGTGGGTCACGAAAGCCCCCCGGGAAGAACTCCAGGCTACAGCGGAGCTGCACGGTCAGCCCCTTCCTCCCCTCTGGGACAGAGCTACGTCCTCCTCCTTGCTGTCTCTTTGTAAGTGTCCTGCCTGCAGGTGCCGGATCGCAAGCCTTGCTTCTCCCCACATAAATCCTTTTGTGGAGGAAGACCTAGTCAGCTTTTTGTTGATGGTAGACAGGGTGACTGTGTTTTATTTTAGTGTATTCTTTTAAGTCTCACCTGAGGATATGTTCGCGGATTTGAGAGAGAAGAGGGAGAGAAGCATTGATGTGAGAGAGAAACATTATTCAATTGCCTACCTCGGACATGTCCCCCAGGAATCGAACATGCAGCCTTTTGGTGTTTGGGACGGCTCTCCCACCAACTGAGTCTTCGGGCAGGGGTGAGCGCATTTGTGTTTTTCAACGGTGGACATATATTGTGCGCTTGTTATGACTCTGGTTTCGCTCCCATTAGCATTGCTTTTACTAGTTCAGACTTCTTGTACATATTAGTGAGTGTTTCTGGTTTCATCTCGCAGGACCCCGTGACGTTTACCTATTTGCTCTCAGTATTTCTTCGTTAAGCCCTTTCTGTAGAGCTACGACCCACAGCAGTGACGCAAACACCGGGCAATGTCATGAGCACTGTGGTTCCAACAACAGAACCCTCACAGCTCCTCGCTGGTGGGTTTGTGCGTGTAAGGACTGAGTTTACCCCCTGACCCCGTTTGTTGAGGCACACGTATGATGTGTGTAAAATGTGCTATACACGCCAACTCACTATATTATATACCTGGCAGGAGGCGTGACCATGAAACTCACACTTGAATGTGTCCAGGGCTTCACGCTGAGGGACCGCGCCCGCTGATCTCCCGCATCCTCCCGTCCCGATTCTCGAAAGTGCTGACCTTAACTCTGAACTTCATGTGTGGAATGTTTTCGGCTCCTGCTCTTCATGTTATTGGGTTACTTTATTATATTTAAGTACATTTAATTGATTACTATTACAGTTGTCCCATTGTTTCTCCTCTTTATCGCCTCCTTCCTGACCCCACCTCACACCCGCAGTTCCCCCCTTAGTCCCTGTCCGTGGGTTGTACATATAAGTTCCTTGGCTTCTCCATTTCCTACACTAATCTTAACCTCCCCCTTTTCTACCTACCAGTTTTGCTTCTTATTCCTTGTACCTTTTCCCTCCTTTCTCCCCGCTCTCCCTCCTTCCTGATAACCGTCTGTGTGATCTCCATTTCTGTGATTCTGTTCCTCTTCTAGTTGTTTTCTTAGTTTCCTTTGGTTTTGTTTTTAAAAAGATTTTATTTATTTATTTTTGGAGATGGGAAGGGAGAGAGAAAGAGAGAGAGAAACATCAGTGTGTGGTTGCATCTCACACGCTCCCTACTGGAGACCTGGCCTGCAACCCAGGCCTGTGCCCACACCGGGAATCCAACAGGTGACACTGTGGCTCACAGGCCGGTGCTCTATCCAGTGAGCCACACTAGCCAGGGCTGTTTTTGTCTTTGTTTGTTTTTTTTTAGGTATAGGTGTTGATAGGTGTCAGTTTGTTGTCCTTTCACTGTGCATAGTTTTGATCTTCCTTTTCTTAGATAAGTCCCTTTAACAGTTCAGCTACTCAGGGCTGGGTGCAGAGGAGCTCCTTTAACCTTCTCTGGGAAGCCCTTCATCTGCCCTCGGAAAAGGCACTTTTGATTGACGTTCTATTACTCTTGATCCGGCCCCAGATTTGGTGAGAATACACGTTAACTTATAAATTTTTGTCTAGCTCAGATGTGAGGGGTTTTTGCCCTGCCTAACAGACAACCCCAACCGCGACAGTTATATTGCGATATTGGACATCGCTCTGTCTTTCCCTCAGGTTCAGAATGTGCCGCCCCCCCCACACTAACTGTCTGATCCCCTCGCCCTGGTGATCTTAGAGTCAGTTGTATGGTTCCCTGATTAATGGGATAAGTACATCTTTGACACATACTCAATCTGTGTTTGAAAGAGTTTTGTTTTTACCTTCTTAAAAAATAATCCTATGATATGTCATGTAGAAAGAAAAAAAAAGACAAGTCCAAAGTCCAGCAATTCCTACATTTCTTTCTCCTCTTAAAGTTCAAGTAAAGGTATATTGGATTTTTTTTTTTATCGGTGCCCAGTGTTTATAAGCACAACAGAACAATATTTGTTGCTTTTGAAGGAAGAATTCAGGCCAAGAAACTCCCAGAAGGTGAGAGGATGCAGGTGGGTGCGTGGCATATGCCATCGCTTCATCTCAGCCCCCCATCCTGCTGCAGCGTCTAAGCTTTGTCACGCAGTCCTGAACCCCCTGGCCGCTGGGGTTGGCACAGACATGCTTCTCCCTCTTGGTGATGAACCTGGGGAGCAAGATGGAGAAAGATTATACAGTGAAGAGGGTTCTGCAAATAAGGACGGGGAGCCGCATCCGCCCGGCCCGGCGGTTCCCCACTCAGCCCACCCTGTTGCTCCCCTTCTCTGCCTCAGCATGTCAGGGTGTCTCCTCTCGCAGACCCTGCGTCAGACACTCCCTCAGTGACTCACGGGAGTGTCCTGGGCGGCCTTGCTGCTGCTCTCCCCGCCCCTCCCGGGCCTCCCCCTTCACGGGGAGCATCTCATGTCTGATGCTCTGCGGGACCCTAATGACGACACAGGCCTCCCCCGACATCACAGGACCCAGAGGGTGAGACTCTCCTGACCTCCATCTGTCATCAGATCCCAATCCCAAGACACGGCCGGTAGCTTGGCACTTACGTGACAGCAGGCAGGTGGCACTCACTGGTTGTTGGAAAAAAACATTTCATGAATCTGCATCGGATCTTCCGTGGGGTGTAGGAGAAGCAGCAGTCAGGGGGATGGTGCACCCCTGTGGGTGTGAGGGATGGAAGGAGAAGGGCCATTTAAGGGTGGGGCCTCATTCAGAGGAAAACTCGACCCTTTCCCCCTTTCCTCCAAAGCACTGGGGAGGGTGCGAAGGGGAAGTTCTCTGAAAGGGTGTTCCCTGCCCTCCTCCCTCCCTGCTCTCGTGCAAGAAGCACCCACTGGCATCTCCCTGCTCCACCCTGCCCAGGGCAGAGCTGTGTGTCTGAGGGCACTCACGCGGGGCCAGAGCTATTCCTCCCAGAGGTGGGAGGGCCTGATGCCTGGAGCGGCACCAGAGAGCATCTCATCCCCGAGGTGAGCGGGGCCCCAGGACCGCCTGGTGGGAGGGATGTCCTGTATGGAGGAGGGACCCTGTGCACCCTGCTCTCCCATGGAGATGTCCCCTCCCCCTTGCCCAAGCCCTGTAAGCAAAGTGACTGAAGCCACAGGGCAGATCTGTACGCACCAGCTGCTTTTAAATACATTCCATAACCAGACGTTTACCAGAATACACTATTATGGGTTCATCCAACTCATGTATCGCCATACCGACATCTATTGGGGAGAAAGAGAGGAGAAGGGAAGAGAAATCACTGATGGCTGGGAGGCAGGAGTGTCTCGGTATCTCTACCCATCTCAGTGCCCAGCCCAGCCCCGTTGGGGGGCATGGATACTGGACGCCAGACGCCGTCTGGGTCCCAGGCCTGCCGCCGGGCCCGTGGTCTCCGTTGGTGCCCTGAGTCTTTTCAGGGGACTTTTCAAAATGTTGGAGACACAAAAACATTCTATTGCCTTCATTTTTCATTTAATTGAGTTTAAATGCAAAACGGAAACTGCAAATGCTACATGAATGAATCAACTCAATAGCCACATCATGTGATACTGTCCACAATGCTTTCTGTACGCTCTTGGAATCCAAAGAGCTCTAGAAACAGAAATATGTTTCATTAACAGAATTGGTGGCATATTGTTGCCCAAAGTGAAGTGAGGCTATTTGCAGTCTTCATCCCATCAGTATAAATATTTGTATGTGTTTGCTGCAGGAATATTACTGTTTGATGAAAGTATACTTCTGAGACTCTGCTAGGAATGTTTTTTAGTATATTTTACTGATTATGCTATTACAGTTGCCTCATTATTTTTCTCCCCATTCTCCCCCTCTATCCTGCACCCTACTTCGCACCGGCATTCCCCACCCTTAGTTCATGTCCATGGGTCGCACGTGTAAGTTCTTTGGCTTCTCCATTTCCTGTACTATTCTTAACTTCCCCCTGTCTATTTTGTACCTACCATTTACACTTCTTATTCCCTGTACCTTGTCCCCATTCTCCCCCTTCTCCCTCTGCACTGATAACCCTCCATGTGACCTCCATTTCTGTGATTCTTCTCCTGTTCTAATGCTTAGTTTTTGTCTTTTAGGTTCAGTTGTTGATAGTTGTGAATTTGTTGTCATTGTACTGTTCCTAGTTTTGAACTTCTTCTTTTTCTTAGGTAAGTCCCCTTTAACATTTCATATAATAAGGGCTTGGCGATGATGAGCTGCTTTAACTTTACCTTTTCTGGAAAGCCCTTTATCTGCCCTTCCATTCTAAACGACGGCTTTGCTGGACAGAGTCATCTTGGATGTAAATCCTTACCTTTCATGACTTGGAGCACTTCTTTCCAGCCCCTTCTTGCCTATAAGATTCTTTGGAGAAATCAGCTGATAGTCCTATGGGAACTCCTTTGTAGGTAACTCTCTCCTTTTCTCTTGCTGTTTTTAAGATTCTCTCCTTATCATTAATCTTGGGTAATTTGATTATGATGTGTCTTAGTGTGTTCCTCTTTGGGTCCAACTTGTTCGGGATTCTCTGAGCTTCCTGGACTTCCTGGAAGTCTCTTTCCTTTGACAGACTGGGGAAGTTCTCCATTATTTTTTCAATAAATTTTCAGTTTCTTGCTCTTCCTCTTTAACCTCTGGCAACCCCATGATTCAGATGTTGGAACATTTAAACTTGTTCTTGAGGTCCTAAGCCTCTCCTCATTTTTCTGAATTCTTGTTTCTTCATTCTGTTCTGGTTGAATGTTTATTTCTTCCTCTGCTCCAAATCGTTAATTTGAGTCCCAGCTTCCTTCTCTTCACTGTTGGTTCCCTGTCTATTTTCCTTTATTTCATTTTGCACAGGCTTCACTTCTTTCTTTATTTTGCATCCGTACTCAATCATTTCTGTGAGCCTCCTGATTACCAGTGTTTTGAACTCTGCATCTGATAGGTGGCTACCTCCTCATCGCTTACTTCTTTTTGGAGTTTTGACCTGTTCTTTCACTTGGGCCATATCTCTTTGTCTCAGCGCACCTGTTATATCGTGAGGGGTGGAGACTTAGGTATTCACCAGGGTGGGGGAACCCACTGCTGCGTTGTGGCACAGTTTGGATGAATGTTTCTTCTTAAACTCCTTGTTGTTGGACTTCCATGCAGTTCAATTCTGGCAGTTCTGGCTGCGTTTTGTTTCTAAATTGGTCATTGTCCTGTTGGTTGTGCGAGGAAGCAAAACATATCTACCTATACCTCCATTTTGGCCAGAAGTGTGGTAGGAATATTAAGTAATGTAGAGTTATGTGTTAACTTTTTAAAATTGTTTATATTTCTTGAACATGTGGTAGAACATACATAATATAAAATTTACAATTTTAACCTTTTTTTTGGCCTTGGAGCTCTGACTTTGTGCCCTACACACACAGTGATCTAGGCCAGCTAAATGCATACACGGAGGGGCAAAAGCACGTTTATCATTGTTTGTATGGAAAATAATACAATAATTAAGAAATAATAACACAAGAATGAACTCTATGTTTCATGTGCTTACAACTGTAAATACCCTCTCATCACACCCTGTATGTATCAGGTGAGTGGATAGAAGACAGTCCGGCAGGGAATGTCAGGGAGCTCAGGCCCCAGACAAGGAGAGCAGAACGCCCTCAGCGCGCAAGGGCAGCCGCGATGCAGCCAGACCCAGAGGGAGAGCACAAGGAGTGCAGTGCAGACCTGCCTGATCAAATATTAACCATTTTCAAATGTACAGTTTAGTAGCATTAAGGACATTCACATATTGTGCAGCCATTCCCACGGTCTATCCACGGACCATTTTTCATCTTGCCAAATTAAAACCCTATACCAATTAAACCATAACTCCCCTCTCCCCCCTCCGCCAACACATAGGCGGGCCACCACCATTCTACTTTCTGTCTCTATAACTTGATTATTTCAGGTACCTCTCCTCAGTGGAACCCTACAGAGTTTATCCTTCATTGCTGACTTATGTCATTTATCATCATGTAGGGTATAGACCTCTCTTAATTGTTCATCCATGTTGTAGCATGTGTCCAAATTTTGGTCCTTTTAGGCTGAATAATATTCTATTGTATGTTCAACATATACACTATGTTTTAATCCATTTGTTTGTTGATGGACACTTAGGTGGCTTCTACCTTCTGTTATTGTGAAAAATGTAGCTCTATTAGCACGGCTGTACAGACATCTCATCAGGCACCTGCTATCCCCAGTGACCGAAGGCAACAAGGAAAGGTCTATACCCTACTGCTGCTACTTTTAAACAGGTGCCAAGTTCTCGCCGATGACCCCCCGTGTCTCCTCGCCGCACTTCAGGTTACCATCAAATTGGCCACCATGAGAAGGCTCACTGAACTCACCACGGGCCAGGGATCCACACGCCGGGGGTCCAAGGGCAGCAGCAAGGATGAGGAGGGAGAGGGCGGCTGTGGGGATCTTCATCTTCCAGGTGTGTGGGCAGGGCTGGCCTGAGGGCTCCCGGGCTCTCTGCTCCCTGACTCCCTGGGACCCCAGCTCTGCCCTCCTATTTAAAGAAGAGGAGAATCAGGAAGTCAGAGGGCAGGATCAACGGAATGCTCTTTGGCTGTACACTTGACGACATGGTATTTCTAGAAAGGGAACAACCCTTGGAATGCAACAGGAAGTTGAGGATGATGATGAATGGGTTTTTCCAGCTGCTGAATGGATAGAAGCAAAAGTGTCAAACTGTCAGGCAGAGACCTTCGCCAAGAGAGGAGCCCGAGACTCTGTGGAAGGAGCTCTCCCCTCCGATGTGGGTCACGAAAGCCCCCCGGGAAGAACTCCAGGCTACAGCGGAGCTGCACGGTCAGCCCCTTCCTCCCCTCTGGGACAGAGCTACGTCCTCCTCCTTGCTGTCTCTTTGTAAGTGTCCTGCCTGCAGGTGCCGGATCGCAAGCCTTGCTTCTCCCCACATAAATCCTTTTGTGGAGGGAAGACCTAGTCAGCTTTTTGTTGATGGTAGACAGGCGTGACCGTGTTTTATTTTAGTGTATTCTTTTAAGTCTCACCTGAGGATATGTTCGCTGATTTGAGAGAGAGAGAGAAATATTGATGTGAGAAACTTCATTCGATTGCCCACCTCGGGCATGCCACCCCGGGATCGAAGATGCAACCTTTTGCTGTTCGGACGGCTCTCCCACCTCCTGGTCTTCGTGGCAGGCGGCGGGGCGCATTTTGTTTTTCAATGATGGACATATATTTTGTGCTTGTTATGAGTTTGGTTTCCCTCCCAGTTAGCATTGCTTTTACTAGTTCAGACTTCTTGTACATATTAGTGCGTGTTTCTGGTTTCATCTCGCAGGACCCCGTGACGTTTACCTATTTGCTCTCAGTATTTCTTCGTTAAGCCCTTTCTGTAGAGCTACGACCCACAGCAGTGACGCAAACACCGGGCAATGTCATGAGCACTGTGGTTCCAACAACAGAACCCTCACAGCTCCTCGCTGGTGGGTTTGTGCGTGTAAGGACTGAGTTTACCCCCTGACCCTGTTTGTTGAGGCACACGTATGGTGTGTGTAAAATGTGCTATACACGCCAACTCACTATTGTATACCCGGCAGGAGGCGTGACCATGAAACTCGCACTTGAATGTGTCCAGGGCTTCACGCTGAGGGACCGCGCCCGCTGATCTCCCGCATCCTCCCGTCCCGATTCCCCAAAATGCCGATCTAACTTTGAACTCCATGTGTCGATAGTTTCCGGCTCTTGCTCTTGATGTCATTGGGTTCCTTTTTTACTTTTTAAGTATATTTTATTGATTATGCTATTGCAGGTGTCCCATTTTTGTCTTCCCTTTATCCCCGTCCACCCAGAACAACCCTCCCAGCAGCATGCCCATCCCCTTAGTTCCTGTCCATGAGTGGTGTATGTAAGTTCTTTGGCTTCTCCATTTTGCTTACTGTTCTTAACCTGCTCCTGTTTATTTTGTACTTAGCACTTATGCTTCTTATTTCCTGTACCTTTCCCCCATTTCCCAGCTTTTCCTCCTCACTCATAAACCTCCACGTGACGTCCATTTCTGTGATTCTGTTCCTGTACTAGTTGTTTGCTTAGTTTGTTTTCGTAAGTCCCTTTAACAGTTCAGCTACTCAGGGCTGGGTGCAGAGGGGCTCCTTTAACCTTCTCTGGGAAGCCCTTCATCTGCACTCGGAAAAGGCACTTTTGATTGACGTTCTATTACTCTTGATCCGGCCCCAGATTTGGTGAGAATACACGTTAACTTATAAATTTTTGTCTAGCTCAGATGTGAGGGGTTTTTGCCCTGCCTAACAGACAACCCCAACCGCGACAGTTATATTGCGGTATTGGACATCGCTCTGTCTTTCCCTCAGGTTCAGAATGTGCCGCCCCCCCAACTGTCTGATCCCCTCGCCCTGGTGATCTTAGAGTCAGTTGTATGGTTCCCTCATTAATGGGGTAAGTAGTACATCTTTGACACATACTCAATCTGTGTTTGAAAGAGTTTTGTCTTTACCTTCTTAAAAGTGATCCTATGATATGTGATGTAGAAAAAAAAAGACAAGTCCAAAGTCCAGCAATTCCTACATTTCTTTCTCCTCTTAAAGTTCAAGTACACTTACACTGTATACTTTTTATTGGTACACAGTGTTTATAATTTGAGCAGAACAATATTTGTTGCTTTTGAAGGAAGAATTCAGGCCAAGAAACTCCCAGGAGGTGAGAGAATGCAGGTGGGTGCATCGCATCTCGTTTCACGCGAGAAGATGTACAGCTCCTTCGGCTGAGCCCAGTGTTTCCATGCAATCCTGAACTTCGATTCTCCTGGGGTCTGTGCAGACTTGCTTACCCCGCTTGGTGCGAAAGCTGGGGAACGAGGGGCAGAGAGGTCATACAGTGAAGAGGGTTCTGCAAATAAGGACGGGGAGCCGCATCCGCCCGGCCCGGCGGTTCCCCACTCAGCCCACCCTGTTGCTCCCTTTCTCTGCCTCAGCATGTCAGGGTGTCTCCTCTCGCAGACCCTGCGTCAGACACTCCCTCAGTGACTCACGGGAGTGTCCTGGGCGGCCTTGCTGCTGCTCTCCCCGCCCCTCTCGGGCCTCCCCCTTCACGGGGAGCATCTCATGTCTGATGCTCTGCGGGACCCTAATGACGACACAGGCCTCCCCCGACATCACAGGACCCAGAGGGTGAGACTCTCCTGACCTCCATCTGTCATCAGATCCCAATCCCAAGACACGGCCGGTAGCTTGGCACTTACATGACAGCAGGCATATGGCACTCACTCGTTGTTAGAAAATAACCAACCATGACTCCGCATTGGATCTTCCGTGGGGTGTAGGAGTGGCAGCAGTCAGGGGGATGGTGCACCCCTGTGGAAGGAGAAGGGCATTTAAGGGTGGGGCCTCATTCAGAGGAAAACTCGACCCTTTCCCCCTTTCCTCCAAAGCACTGCGGAGGGTGCGAAGGGGAAGTTCTCTGAAAGGGTGTTCCCTGCCCTCCTCCCTCCCTGCTCTCGTGCAAGAAGCACCCACTGGCATCTCCCTGCTCCACCCTGCCCAGGGCAGAGCTGTGTGTCTGAGGGCACTCACGCGGGGCCAGGTCCATTTCTTCCAAAAATGGGAGGGCCTGTTGTTGGTGGGGGGCGCCCGAGAGCAACTCTTCCCTATGGAGTGTGGGCCCCAGGGCAGCCCGGTGAGAGGGACGTCCTGTATGGAAGAGGGACCCCAATGTATCATGCTCTTCCTTGGAGATGTCCCCTCCCCCTTGTCCCATGCCCTTGTAAGCAAGGTGGCTGAAGCTACAGGGCAGATCTGTACCCACCAGCTGCTTTTAAATACATGCCATAACCAGACGTTTACCTCCTTGTAATGAATGCTGAATATCGGGTATCGCCACACCAAGATCTATTGGGGGGAAAGAAGGAGAAGGGAAGAGAAATCACTGATGGCTGGGAGGCAGGAGTGTCTCGGTATCTCTGCCCATCTCAGTGCCCAGCCCAGCCCCGTTGGGGGGCATGCATGCTGGACGCCGGACGCCCGTCTGGGTCGCAGGCCTGCCGCCGGGCCCGTGGTCTCCGTTGGTGCCCTGCGACTTTTCTACATGTTTGAGACATGGAGACATTCTATTGCCTTCATTTTTCATTTAATTGAGTTTAATACAAATCAGACTCTGCAAATGCAACATGAATGATCAATTGAATGGCCACATCATGTGATACTGTCCGCGATGCTGTCCGTACACTTGTGGAATCCACAGGGCCCTGGAAACAGTAACCGATTGTTAAGTGATTCGGTGGCACAAGGCCCCCCAAAGTGAAGTGAGGGTATTTATACTCTTTATCCCATTAGGAACAATCTTTGTACGTGTTTGCTGCAGAAATACTCGAGTTTGACTTAAGTGAACTTTCAGACTCTGCCTGGAATGTTAAGCGATGTCCAGTTATGTGTTCTCTTTTAGAAAATATTTATGTTATTGGGGAGCACGTGGTAAAATATACATAATATAAAGTTGATAATCTTCACCTGCCCTTTTTGTCATGAGCTCTGACTCAGTGCCCTACACACACTGTGATCTAGGCCTGCTAAATGCATACAGGGAGGGGCAAAAGCACGTTTACCGTCATTTGTACGGAAAACAATACAATAAGTAAGAATTAATAACCCCGAATAAACTCTGTGTGGCCTGCTCACAACCGTAAATCCCCTCTCCTCCCAGCCTGCATGTAGCAGCTGAGTGGATAGAAAGCAGGCCGGCGGGGACTGGGAGGGAGCTCAGGCCGCAGACGAGGGGAGCAGAACGCCCGCAGCGCGCAAGGACAGCCGCGACGCCGCCGGGCCCAGAGGCAGAGCAGGGGATGCGCTCGTCACACCCGCCTGATCCGAGGGTAACCGTTTTCAAATGTACAGTTTACTAACGTGAAGGACATTCCCATATTGTACAACCATACCCACGGTCCATCCAGGGCACGTTTTTCATTTTGCCAGATTGAAACTCTGTGCAGTTAGACCGTAACTCCCCTCTTCCCTCCCCTCCCCTGCTCCGCCATCCCACGGGCCACCACCATTCTCCTTTCTGTCTCTAACATTTGACTACTCTAGGTGCCTCTCCTCAGTGGAACCCTACAGTGTTTCTCCCTCCTCGCTGGCTTATCTCGTTTATCGCCATGTAGGGTGTAGATGTCTCTTCATTGTTCATGCATGCCGTAGCATGTGTCCGAATTTCAGTCCTTTCAAGCTGAGTGATAGTCTATTGTATGTACAATACATACCCCATGGTTTTACCCACTTGTTTGCTGATGGGCGCTTGGGTGGCCTCTACCTTCTGTTACTGTGAAATATGCGGCTCTATTAGCACGGCTGTACAGGCGTCTCTTCAGGCACCTGCTTCCTGTTCTTTCGGGTATTCAACCAGAAATGGAGTTGCTGGATGACTGTGTACCACCTTTTCTAAACCTGAAAGATTCTTCATTCCAAAATACATCTAGCCCCAGCGTTTTGGGCAGGGGGTTGTAGACCTGCATTATGCTAGTTCGGCAAACGCAACTGAAAATGTAGCTCGT